GGAGTTTCGCTCTTGTTACCCAGGCTGGAGTGCAATGGCGCGATCTCGGCTCACCGCAACCTCCACCTCCTGGGTTCAGGCAATTCTCCTGCCTCAGCCTCCTGAGTAGCTGGGATTACAGGCACGTGCCACCATGCCCAGCTAATTTTTTGTATTTTTAGTAGAGACGGGGTTTCACCATGTTGACCAGGATGGTCTCGATCTCTTGACCTCGTGATCCACCCGCCTCGGCCTCCCAAAGTGCTGGGATTACAGGCTTGAGCCACCGCGCCCGGCCCCCTAGTTCAGTTTTAAAGTGGGTTGTGGACAGCGACTAGAAAAAAATTTTAGAGAAATGAATGAAATAGGCAAAAGTTGACTCAACCTATGCATTAATTTGATTACACAAATCTGCATAAAATGACACTCTAGTCTGGTTGGAGATAATGGAGGCTGAAATGGCTTCTCATGGAGCCTGAAATGGCTTCTCCCCACCCTTTCAGGGCTCCCAGGTCACATGCGCCTCTTTTGGAAGCTGCACAGTGTGGTCATTAGGAGTTCAGGTGGCCTGGGTATGGTCACAGCACTGCACTTATCGTGAGCCGTAAAGTCAATTTACTTCTCCAAGCCTCAGTTTCCTTATCTGTAAAATCGCACAGAGCCTACTTCTTTGTTGGATCATTGACAGCACTGTGTGTGTGTCTGTGTGTGTCTGTGTGTATCTGTGTGTGTCTATGTGTGTCTATGTATTTCAAACTTCATAACCACCCTAAAACCTAGGTATTCAGATTATTCTCATTTCACAGATGAACCAAGTTACAGAGAGATTAATTTGTCCAAGGTCACACAGCCAGTAGGCAGCATTAGGACCTCACCGACTATGAGCTTAGCTGCCAAGAAGAGCTGGGATAAAACAGATGTCCAGCTTTTTTTTTTTTTTTTTTTTTTTTTGAGACGGAGTTTCGCTCTCGTTACCCAGGCTGGAGTGCAATGGCGCGATCTCGGCTCACCGCAGCCTCCGCATCCTGGGTTCAGGCAATTCTCCTGCCTCAGCCTCCTGAGTAGCTGGGATTACAGGCACGTACCACCATGCCCAGCTGATTTTTTGTATTTTTAGTAGAGACGGGGTTTCACCATGTTGACCAGGATGGTCTCGATCTCTTGACCTTGTGATCCACCCGCCTCGGCCTCCCAAAGTGCTGGGATTACAGGCGTGAGCCACCGTGCCCGGCCCAGATGTCCAGCTTTAAAGCTGGGAGGTCAGAAGGTAAGAGTCGGGTGGGCGTGGTCCTAATTCTGGCAAGTCCAGTTTAAGAATCCTCCAAGTCCCCTCCATCTCCTGGAAAACCCAGCCCAGAATACCGAGTACCAGCTCGGCCATAGAGACCCCCCACCTAGGTAGGCTGAAGGAACTGAGAGGCAGACACCCAGATAGAACAGCAAAGTGGGACTACCCGGGGGGCAGCCGCCCTCTAAGCTGAGAGCCTCAGGGCCTGACAGCATTCCAGGCTGAACGCCCGGAGCAGCTGCTGACCCCCTGCAGTTAGTCTCTCTGAACAGGTGATCATTATTAACAAGCAGGTGTTCGGTATTTTCTTATAACACAAAACACGCCAAGTAGGCAGCTGGTGCCTGCTTACCACTGATCACAAACAACCTAAAAAGTATTCTCCACGAGGGAGCCACGGGGGCAGGGTCAGCTATCCAAGGATTGATTTTTAACAGGTGTATGATGTTCATCCATTGTCCTGCCACTTTGGAATGTCCCGAGTAGTTTTCTACTTGGGAGGGCTGGCTGGGTTTTCCTTGCCATCGTTCTTCTTAGCAAACAATATATTCTGTCACACACTCAGCATTTCTCAATATTCACACACTTAACGTTTCTCAACACCAGAACCTCATCCTTTTGCTAAAAGGATTCAAGTATCATCAACTGAGGTGAGAAAAAAAGCAAAGCGGCTTGGGTCAGGCTCAGTGGCTCCCGTCTGTAATCCCAACACTTTGGGAGGCCAAGGCAGGAGAACAGCTTGAGTCCAGGAATTTGTAATCAGACTGAGTAATTCTTTACAAAAAGTTTAAAAATTAGCCAGGAGTGGTGGTGTGTGCCTGTAGTCCCAGCTGCTTGGGGGACTGAGGTGGGAGAATGGCTTAAACCCAGGAGTTCGAGGCTGCAGTGAACCGTGATCACGCCACTGCACTCCAGCGAGAGAGTTTCAGAGCGAGACCCCGTTTCAAAAAAGAAAAAAATCAATTTGATGGGACGGGATGGAGGAGGATGTCAGCAAGCAGGTTTTGGATGTGCTGAGGATTGTATGAAATCCTAGGGAGCAGCGACGTTGAAATAGGAGAGCTGAGGAGTTCCATCTGGGACATGATGAAATTTTTTTTTTTTTTTTTTTTTTTTTTTTTTTTTTT